TGGAGAAGTTTGAAGGTAGCCATTCCAGGGGTGCCCTTGGGGGGATTCCAAGGGCTGGGTGGGGCTGAGGGAGGGCCCAGGCTTCGGAGTGGAACAGCAGCCCCAGTAACTGTTCCTATTTATAGACATCACAAGACTCCTAGGGCAGGTGCCCATGCCAGGGAAGGGGGGTGAAGTAGGCTGAGAGGGCAGCAGGGGATGGGGGGGAACGTCATGTCCGAAGCCCAGGCCCTCCTCCAACCTCCAGGCCGAGACCCCACTTCAAGCCATCCCCACCTCTTGCCCCCATTTGTTCAGAGACACCAGTAAGGGTGGGCCTTGCCCTCCTCGGCAGCCACATTCCCTTCCTCTTCAGGCACAAGCACTGAGCCCGGGTTGATTCCCTGGGGGCACTAAGGACACACCTACCTACTTACCTGGGGCTTTTGCCAGGTAGAGAAAAAGCACCCAATACCTCAGAACCAGCACCAGAAAAGGCCCCAGGACCTCAGAGCCTGTTCCCTGGGGCTCCCACAGTCCAGGTCCGGGGCCCGCTCTGCAGGAAAGTTAGAGGGGCACTGTGGCCTGGGACAGGGTCCTGCCTCTCTCTCAGCCTTGGTTACTAAGGTCTGGGAAAGGGGATCACTAAGGTTCCCTAAGCTCTGATACCCTGTAGGTCTTACCCTGCCACACCCCTGCATAACACCTTCAGGTGTCACCAGTCACCTCCATGCCATTGCATATATGGAGCCCGCTGCCTAATTCACTGTTGCTCATCCTCAACTCCTGGATGCCTCCCCACCCCCCACCCCCCACCCCCAGGCTGGGTCAGACTGGGCTCCCCCATTGTAGTTCCAGCAACTGTGCCATAACACCTGGTGGTTGGTCTGTCTCCCTGATCCCCGGTGGCAAGGTCCATGAGAGTGGGGGTGGTGTGTGTACTTGGTCACTGGCTGTGTCCCAGTGCCCAGCCTGAGAAGGTGCTCTGTAAATAGCTAAGCATCGTGAGTGTGGCTAAGGGTGCGTGGGGGCAGTCGAGGATGCCTTGACAGAGCGTGGCGTTAAGGATGAGGGGTGTCCAGCCAGGTTACTGACCAGCTTTATGACCTTGGGCAACTTCAACCCTCAGGGTCTGTTTCCACATCTCTAACATGGGATAATAACAACAAAGGCTACCCTACGGAGTTCTTTTTAGAATGACATAAAATGGTCACTTAAAGGGATTAGCATGTAGGAAACCCCCAACTGAGTGCTTGCAGGTTCCTGGAAACCAAGGCCTTCAGGCAGGCCAAGGAAAGAAATGGAGATGTGTCTGGTGCATCAGCCTGTGCTGCCCCACCACTTTCCAGCCATATGCTGGGCTCTTCCTTACCACAGGGCCTTTGCACCAGCTGCCTCCTCTACCTGGCTCCACTCAAATTCCACCCCCTCAGAAAGGCTTTCCCAGGTCCCCCAGGTACAGGCCTGGTACTCTATTGAATGCCTTCACAGAGTCTGTCACTACCTGCCTGTATGTATTTAGTTGCTTGTTGTCTGTCTCCCCTATTAGACTCTCAGGCCCCTGAGGGCAGGGACTTGTGCCTCTTCGTTTATGGCTCTATCCCTAGCCTAGAACAGAGACTGGCACATCGTAGGTGCTGAGTATAATGAATAACTGATGAAGTGGGAACAGTATGAGGTCCCCTTTTGCTGGGTAAACCGAGGCACAAAGTGGTGGATGGCATCCCTGACTATCCAACCTCTCCCCTGCCACTAGAGGGCACAAGCTGTTTTGGCTCATGGCTCAGGGGCAGGACTCACCAAGACAGTGCAGGAAGAGAGAGCCAGGATAGACCACTGAGGCAGGGTAACCCTGGGGAACAAGTGGGCTCAGGAAGGGAGCTTAGGATCCTAAGCTGGGCACCTGGACCCACTTAGTGTGCTCAGAGGAGGAAGCCAGGTAGATCCGAGTTCAAGTCCCAGCTCCTTGTGACTTACTGTGGGGCCTCTGTCAGGTAACTGGTCCACAGAACCCCTGTTTAGTAACTGTAAAATGCAAAACTAAGCAGAGTGCCAGAGAAGGCTCTGGACCCAAGAAGAACCTGAATCCCAATTCAGCCCCTGCTGGGCTGGGTGACCTGGCCCTCTCTGAGCCTTGGGCACTGAGCTGGATGCTCCATCAGGGCCACAGGGCCCACTCTCTTACCAGAAATGCCACCTCTGCCATCCAGAATGTCTCGGGGGCCCTCCTTGGTGACCGGCAGGTAATGGGTGGACCGGAAGATGCCACCATCCCCTTCAGCTGCCTCAGCCCCACCCTCAATGTCCTCTCTCGGTGCTGGGCCGGGCAGTCTCTCAGGGCCTCGAGGACGGTCTGGGGCAGCCAGGCCGCCCACCAGGGGTCCATCCATGGATGCTCTCTGCTTGGCTCCAAGCACTCAGCTGCTGGGCTGGCTCAGCAAGGCATTGTAGATCTGGGGGCAGAGAGACAATGCTTAGGGGAGGTAGGAAAGGGACTCTGCCTCAGTTTCTCCTTCCTTGAAGCCCCAGTCCTCACCCTTGAAGCCTAGTACATACTTCAGTTTACCTCCCAGCCCAGGTGAACTAAATAAATGGTGCTGAGGCCCTACCCAGATAGTACAGTGTACAGAGAACACCTCTCTTTACACAGATCCGGTGCGGCCTCAGTTTACCCATTTTTACACATGCACACCCAGCCACCTTGTTTTATTCCAGCATTAATCCTGTCACTTCTCACAGATGCCTCCCTTTTGCACTTTCCCCAGTTGTGCCCTCACTTCCATGCACACATGTACACTATGCCCGTGCCTTGGCATGCATGCAGGTCATCTCTACACTCTGATCTTATACCCGAAGATCATTACCCCTGCACTTTTCCCACGGTCCAGTCCTCCCCCAACACGACCTCAGGGTTCTCCAGCATTAACACCTTCACCCCCACAACAGCCTCAAGTGACCCCAGATTAACCCCTTTGCTTTCCCCCAACATCACCCCTCATGCACACCCCAACCTGGGTCCCTCCCTCCCACCCTCCCAAGATCTCTCTAGTTTGCAGGCAACAGGGATGGATGGGGCTCCTGGTCCAGAAATGAGGACCCTGGGGAAGCCACGCGGGTGGGGGCTGTTCGCTACACCTATAAATACCTTCAAGGTAACGTCGGAAAGTGAAGGGCAGGAATGAGGCGCCCTCCCTGGGGAGATGTTGGGGAGGCCGGCCGAGGCAACCGGG